ATGGCACCAGCATTGGCTTAGCTCTAGTGAAAACCCCATGGGAGATGGCATCACAGTGGTGGAAGCAGGTGTGAGGAAGATTATATGGTGAGACAGAAAGCCAGAGAGCAAAAATGGGCCAGTCTTGGGACCTTCAACTAGGTTCCACCTTAAAATCCTACCACATGTGTGTGTTACTAGGGATTGAACTTAGGGCCTTGCACACATAGACAAGCATTCTACCTCTGAATTCCATCCACAGACCTTTATTTATTTATTTTTTTAATTTTGAGATAGGGGCTCACTAAGTTGCCCAGGCTAGCTTCAAATTTGCAATCCTCCTGCTTAGCCTCCCAAGTAACTGGGAATATAGGTATGTGCCACCTACACCTGTCTCACCACCTCTTAACACCTCCATACTTAGGACCAAGGTCCAATGCATGAACACTTGAAAAATACATATCCTATCCAAACAAGAGCACTAGAGGATTTTGAGCTTTGGCCCAGGCATTTCCTTCTCTGGCCCTCCTAATTTGAACATCTAACACTGAAAGGATGTCCATTAAAAGAGGGACATCTCAGTTACATGTGTCAACCAGCTTAACAGATTGTTTTCAGTGTCCCCAGGACACATGCACTGAGCATCCCAGAATGAATGCTGCATGTCAGCATAGTAACTTTTGTGCAAACTGCCACATAAGCCTATGCCCCAGATGCCTGTTTACCATAGCCCTCCAGATGTGGACACTAAGGGTGCAAAGCTATTTACTACTAATGTACTTACATCACTTTATTTTAAGAGAGTTTCCTGGAAGCAACATATAATTTAGTCATGCTACTTCATCTTTCTTTTTGCATGTTAGATCATTTATATTGAATGGTTCAGATTACAAACATGATTCAACTCTATTATTATGTTTAGTCTCTTTTTTATTTTTCTGTTTTCCTTTTATTACTGTGCTTTTTAGTTATTTAACCACTTATTAGTACTCTAATCTATCTCCTGTATTTTTTACTGTATCTCATTGCTTTCTCTTCTTTTTGGTGGAGCTGGGCATCTGACCAAGGGCTTCTTGAATGCTACACAAGTACTCGCTGAGTTAAATCCCTAGTCCCCCACTGCATATTTTTTAGGGATTAAAATATACATAAATTATTAGGTTACATGAAATGACATTTTACCATTTAAATGAAATACAGAAACTTGGTATCAACTTGGCTTACCCTCATTATTATGTTGTGTTTGTCTTATGTATTATATCTACATAAATTGAAATATCTGTATACCTGTAAGATGTTTTATTCTTTTCAACAATCATTTATAAAAAATTCAAGTAGAAACTAGTTGTGGTGGTGCATACCTGTAATCCCAGCTACTCAGGAGCCTGAGGCAGGAGGATGGCAAGCTCAAGGTCAGCCTGGTCAATCTAGAAACTGTCTCAAAAACAAAACAAAGGATGAGGGGCTGGGGTATAACTCAGTGGTAGAGTACCCCAAATTCAATCCCCAGTATTGTCCCCCAAAATATCTCAGTTGTACAATACCATATTTATCCAGGTAACTATTTCTACAGCTTTCCCTTCATTCCTGATATTTCAAATTTCATTTCTTTCTTAGGTGCATTTCTAACAATTCATTTAAAGCAGGTCTTTTGGCAATGACTCTGTCTTACTTCATCTGAGAATTTATTTCACTTTCATTACTAGAGAATACTTTTGCTTGATATAGCATTCTAGGTTGATACTTCAGTTCAGTACTTGAAAAATATTTCCACATTTCCTCTTGGCATTTATGATTTCAGTTGAGAAATAAATGGAATTTTTCTACAAGCATTCATGTGAGTTTTCTCAGTATCTTTTCAAGATTTTTTATTTTTAGCTTTCACTACATTTTTGGGATTAGTTTTCTTTATGTTTTGTGTTCACTGAACATCTTTGTACCTGTGTTGTTCACCAAATCTGAGAAAATTTTTTCTTCTGATACTAGAGATTGAACCAGGGGTACCCTGTCACTAAGCTATATCCTCAGCACTTTAAAAAAAAAAAAAAAAACTTATTTAAGACAGGGTCTTGCTAGTTTGCTGAGACTGGCCTCAAACTTGCCATCTTCCTACCTCAGCCTCCGAATCACTGATACTACATGTGTGTGCTATCACACCAGACCTATTTTTCAAATAGTCATGTGCTATGGGAGTGAATTCTGAGAACTGCACTTTTGGGCAATTTCATCATTTCACAAATATCTTAGATTTACACAAATCTAGATGGCATGGCCTACTACAAACTTAGCCCAGATGGTATGCAGTCACATGCGATCTATTGTTGCCCGCATTTGGTTGTTATGACACATAGTACTGTTTTTTTGTTTTAAAATTTTTATTGTAGTTGTAGATGGACAGCATGCCTTTATTTATTTATTTATTTTTATGATTGAACCCAGTGCCTCACACATTCTAGGCAAGTACTCTACCACTGAGTTACACTTTGAATTATTTTCAAAGCTTTCTGCAATGCTATTTGTGTCTGAAAGGCTGGTCTACCTCACATTCTAGTTCTCAAAGTCTGTTATGTTTAACTGCCACCACAGGATTGCCTGGAGATTGTAGGCAAGTGAATGACATTGACTGACATGTAGCAGGTGACACCTGGGAAACCAAAAAAAAAAAAATTCCTGTTAACTTTCAGAACTGCAGATAGTAATCTCTCTAAGAGGTAGCAGTATCTTCTATCAGATTTTCCTAAAGGGATGGGGTATAGAGCTGTATGTTTTGGCTGACATTATGTTGTAATATCTTTCAGTTTACAGCTAGCAGCTATGAGCAGCTCGGAGTGCTTGAAGAATCTACACTTGTTCAAGCCTGATAGGAACGCCTGCAGGATGGGATGCTCTGCTCTAGCAAGCCGTTAGTGAAAACACATCCTTAGCACTTGTGGTTAGTGATGCCAAGCTGCCAGGCCAGGAAACTGATAGCCAGGAGCTTCGACATGGAACTTCTAACTTAGAAACCCCCTCCCCTAGGGACAAAGACCCTTCCTGATGATAGCAATATTTAGAACATCCTCATAGTGTGGTTACATTAGGCATAAGATGATTGGCTTATGGATACTATCCTTGATGGGCACGCCCCACTCAAACCCTGTAACATTATACTAGGGTCACAGGCTAAGCTGACAGCAAGCTCGGGCACACCAATCAAACCCCAAATATCAAATTAAGAAAAGCAAATGTTTTGTGTGCAATTTGTGCTTGAGGAGCACCAGCGCACAGGCATTGCTACAAAGAAGGTTCTGGTGAATCTGAACTCATCTCCAGTGCAGAGGAGGAAGTCCTCTCCAGTGGCAAGGTGTTTGGGTGAGGTGATGTCTTCACCAGCAGTGAGTTTCTCAGGCAGGGCAATGTCTGGGCTGTGAACACTATACTGTCATTTGTTAATGATACTGTCACTTGGAGTCCAAAATGAAGGACAAGGCCAACCTGCACTAATGACTTCACCCATCACCCACATGTGCTCATCATCAGGCAACTATCAATGAGTTCCAGAGGGACCTTCAGGTCTCATTTCAGTCAGTAAGATGGCGTCTAAGGCAAATTCATGAGCCATAACCACCCACACAAGGCAGTCCAGATTGATGTGATCACCTTTATTGTCATTGCCAATAGGTAATGGCAATAACAATTGTGCCTAACAGTAACACTCACACCCACAAGAGAACCATTCCATTACCACTCCTCACAAGAAACACATGGAACATGAAAGTGCACAGGTCTCTTCTGTTCAGGATTATTGTTTAGTGTGATTTGGAATACCTCTACACTGGCTGGATTAAAAGCCAAAGAAAGGGCTGCAGCCCTGATGGCAGCACATGACAGAATCCAAAGTTGCTCAAGCATATATAAATGTTGGGTCACTCAGACTGAAATCTGGTTGAGTTGGTCTATGAAAGGCCATATTCAAAGTCAGTGATGATTTCCAGCATAGCAGAACATGATACCAGCCATGTCCAGAGTTCTTGCTATTTTTCATCTTACATGAAAGGGCAAATCCAGAAGGTCTAGTTGTCAGTCCAAGCTGTTGTTTGACTCAGGAATATGATTTATTTTCCAACCATGGAGTGAATCTATAAAGAAAAAGAAAATATAGGTCTCTCCCTCCCTCCCTCTCTGAGTTAAAGGAATTCCTATTCTCAGGTCCAAGGATCTGGCTCTCCCTCCACAGCCATGAAACAGAGGTCTGTCACACTACCAGCTATTCACTCAACCTTTTTTCCACATGCCCCTTTTTAATATGAATAAAAAAATTAGGTAAGAGAGGAGCAAGAGCATTTGAACAACATTGAGATCTATATTATAGCCTAAATTTGGCTACTATGAGTTACTATTAGTGAACCATGTTTAAAAGCATGACGAGAGAATCTTCAATGCTAAAATATGATTTGTGCTGGGGGTGCAACTCAGTGGTAGAGTATATACTTGGCATGTGTGAGGCCCTGAGTTCAATCCCAGGAACAACAAATAAACAAATAGTATAGGATACTTTTGTTTCCAAAAGGCTCATTTTTGGCTAGATGCCACCTGAAAGGTCTAGCACCTTGACTGGAATGGTTTTGCTATACAAGAAACAGATATATCCCACCAGGAATGATCAAGGTGGACTCATAAATATTCAAAATAAATGTAAAGAATCATTCAGAAGGTTGTATGTCTGTCAACATACAAGATTTCAGGGGTGGGGATGCAATTTCCATATCTAAACATTTACTTTTTCTTGTGTGTGAATCGCTGTTTTTAAAGGCTGAAGGATAATATGTAAAAAATTGACTTTGCATCCTTCCTTGCCTTTACAATAAAGTTTTTCTCCACTGTGAGGTCAAATGAACATCAAAGTTTTTAACAATTACAACTTTTCCACATATCATACATCAACAGTGTTTTCTCTCCAGTGGAAGAGCCTATATTTTTAATAGGTCCCTGAGAATTAGGATTTTCATGTTTGTTACATTATATGGCTCCAGGATGAGTTCTCACAATACTGCATCATGATCAGATTCCAATGATTCTAACACAATTCTTAAATTCATGGGGCATCTTGAGAATAGAGGTCTTTCAATCCTTTGAAATAAACTGGCATAATTGAGGGCTGTTCCACATTCTTCACATTAATAAGGTTTTTCATCAGTAAAAATTCCAGTGTGATGATTAAGACGTGAAGAACTCCTAAAGGATTTTCGGCATTCCTTCCATTCAAAGGGTTTCTGTTCAGTTTGAGTTATTAAATGTTCTGTTAGCAAATAAAGCCTATTATAGGTGTTCTCACATTCCTGATATTTACAGGGCTTCTCCCTAGTGTGAATTCTTACATGGTGATATAGGTTTGAGGATGTAGTGAAGGATTTCCCACATTCCTTACATTCATAGGGTTTCTCCCCTGTGTGAGTTCTTACATGTTCAGCTAGGCTTGAAGAAACGGTAAAGGCTTTCCCACAATACTTACATTTATATGGTTTTATTCCAGTATGAATTCGAATGTGCTTATTAAGACATGAGGAATTTCCAAAAAATTTTCCACATACCTTACACTGAAAGGGCTTTTCCCCTGTGTGAGTTTTTACATGTTCAGTCAGCAGATAACACCTTTTGTAGGCTTTCCCACATTCCTTACATTCATAAGGTTTCTCTCCAGTGTGGGTTCTTATGTGCACAATGAGACATGAGGAAGTTGTGAAGGCTTTCCCACATTCCTTACATTCATAGGGCCTCTCTCCAGTGTGAGTTCTTACATGTTCAGCTAGACTTGAGGAAACAGTGAAAGCTTTCCCACAGTATTTACATTTATAAGGTTTTACTCCAGTATGAATTCGAATGTGTTTATTACGGCAGGCAGAACTTCTAAAGGATTTTCCACATAACTTACATTCAAAGGGCTTCTCCACCGTGTGAGTTTTTAAATGTTCAGTTAGCAAGTAACACCTTTTGTAGGCTTTCCCACATTCTCTACATTGATAAGGTCTCTCTCCAGTGTGAGTTCTTACATGTTTCCGTAAGTATGAGGAAGCATGGAAGGCTTTCCCGCATTTTTCACATTCATAGGGCTTCTCTCCAGTGTGAGTTCTTACATGTTTACGCAGGTAGGAAGAAGCATGGAAGGCTTTACCGCATTCCTCACATTGATAGGGTTTCTCTCCAGTATGAATTCTTAAATGTTCAGTTAGGTTTGAAGCGGCAGTAAAGGCTTTCCCACATGCCTTACATACATAGGGCTTCTCTCCGGTGTGTGTTTGTACGTGTGTGGTAAGGCCTGAGCGTTTAGTGAAGGCTTTTCCACATTCTTTACATTTATAGGGTTTCTCTCCAGTATGAATTCTGAAATGTTCAGTTAGGCTTGAAGAAGTAGTGAAGGACTTCCTACATTCTTTACATTCATAGAGTTTCTCCCCTGTGTGGGTTCGCATGTGACTGTTAAGATTTGAAGAATAACCAAATACTTTTCCACAAACCTTACATTCATAGGGTTTTTCCCCAGTGTGGGTTCGCATGTGACTATTTAGGTTTGAAGAATATCCAAATACTTTCCCACAAACTTTACACTCATAGGCTTTTATGGTATACATTTGAATAGGCACAGTTCCACTTGTGGGAAATGTAAAATCTCCTGCATACTGCTTCAATTCAAAGAGTTTTTCTCCATTGTGATTTCTCAAATGAGCCTGAAAGTATGGCTGATTGAGGAAGGCATAGTCATTGCATTCAAAGGATTTGTCTTGTGTGATGGTTTTCTGGTAAACATCATTTGGAGTCAGGCTAAAAGCTCTTTCACACTGACTCAATGCAGAGAGTGTCTGTTCAGTAGAGGTTTTGTGAGGAGTAGGAAAATACCTTCCATACTGATTAGAGTCACAAGGGTTCCTTGAATTTTGAATTTTCATGTGTGTCTTGAAATATGAGTGTTCACTGAAGATTTCTCCATATTGCAGATAGTTACAGAGTTCCCCTGCACTTTGGTTTCCCACCTGCTGATAAGGGATGAAATATGGTTAAAGATTTTTTTTTCAAATGAAATGGATTTTACCTATCTGAAAGCAAAAATAAAACATAATTGATTCTTACTGTTTTTATTACATGTATAGGAATTCCTACTCTGTGAACTTCTCTCAAATTGAATGAAGGAATACTGCAAGGATTCTGAACCATCTATTTTAGTCTTAGGATAATTCCTGTACATTTTCATAAAATTCTTTTAAGAATCTCAGTACCCAACTTTATATGTGGGAAAGTGTACTTCTAAGAACTCTGAAGCTCCAGATTTTGAGCTTGGATTAGGGTATCCTAAATTCATCACATTCAGGATCTCAGGATCCCTTTAGAGACATTTCCCCTGCTAGGGTAAATGTTATTTCTCTCAAGCATCTCTTGGGCCAGGAATGCAGCTCAGTGGTAGAATGCTTGCCTAGCTCAAGGTCTTGGTTTGATTCCCAGCACCACGGAAACAAAAAAAACAAGTCTCATTGATACAGATTTTCTATAAGAGAATTCCCCATCTTTTTCAAGTATGATAAATGAGGATTCACCAATACTGCAACCTTCTCCCTATTGACAAATGGTTGAATGATGAATAAAGAATGTATTTAGAGGGTTATTATAAATTTCACCATTTTCATTCTTTCATATAGTTATTGCCATGTCAATTCTATAGTACTCAATGAAGGAACAATAGGACTAAAATTCTGTGATATCTGTTCTAATGTTAAAAAGATTAAGATAATTGCTTTAAAAACTCCTATGTCCAGAATTCCAAGATATGTGGGACTGTGTACTTGTGGGATCCCTGAAGGAACTGGCTTCACAATAGTTTGGGATACTATTGATATTATACTCAAAATTGATATTATATTCAAAGTATCTCTCCTGACATATTGCTTCCCTCCCACTTGGATGAATGTTACTATCTATAACAGAATTCACATCTTCTCTGAGTGTGGAAAACAACAACATCTTTTGTTAATCTTACCATTTGTATCCCACTGGAAATTCGTTCCCTCAAAATATTCTGCTGAAATGCTGCCTCTTCAGTGCTAACGTGCATTTTCCATTCTAAATATGATCAGAAGACAAATTTAAGATTTGGAGAAAGAAATGGTAGATTGTAGAAATTAAAAATAATAGGGCTTATATGTATTTGTTTTATCATTCTTTCTTTTCTTTCTTCTTCTTCTTTTTTTTTTTGGGGTACCAGGGATTGGAGCCACATCCATAGCCCTTTTTATATTTTATTTAGAGACAGGGTTTTGCTAAGTTGCTGAGGCTGGCTTTGAACTTGTGATCCTCCTGCCTCAGCCTTGTGTGCCACATGCCCAGCCACTGTATTTGTTTTCAAATTAAACATGGTATAAAAAAAAGTGGGCTGGTGTTGGAAACCAGTACAGCACTTGTCTTGCATTCCTGGGTTCAATCCCTAGAGCCAAAAGAACAAACCAACCAACCAAACCAAACAAACCAAACAACAACAACAAAAAAAAAGATAAAGGAAAAAAATATGGGGGAAAAAAAGCAATGTTTGAGCATTTTAACTAGATCAAATTTGGCAACAGTAAAGTTGTGGATCATAGTCTTAAATAGTTTATTATAAACTGATTCTTTAAAAATTAGAACTGATGGTAAACAAGAATAATATTATCAGGCATGAAAAGAAGAAAAGATCTAGACAAAGAACAAATGAAAAAGTGATTTTAAAAAAAAGACAACAGTTCATTTTGGAGATCACAGGAAAGTCTGAGTAGACAGAGTATGAGAAGCTGAGATTTTCTACCTTCTCAGAGTAATGTCCTGAACCTTCTTAAATCAAGTACACCTTAAAAAGTTTCATGATCCTTCCAAACTCAATAAACTTCTCCTTGATCACAGTTGCCCTCCAGACTCACTCACCTTGGAGATCTCCTGTCTGCATATCCTCTTCTTGTTCTAACCATGAGATGAGACTGGGTTTGGTGGGTTCACATCCTGTACATGGGGAAAGATATTCATGAAATAGGTTCATGCAACAGATGATAAAACAGTATAGTTCTAATAATACTGTTTCTAATGAAAGCTGAAGAATTATTTCAAAAGAGTGAAGTATGCAAGTATCATCTCTTTCTGTACCCAAAAATGATTAGTTATCTTGGAATTCTGAAGACCCAAATTAATGCTAACAAACAAAACACTAACACTGAATCAAACAGAAAGTAAAGTGAAACAAAAAGATCCTTGTTTTTCTGGGGAAAAACTATACCAGAAATCACAAATTATAATGCATTAGATACAAATGGGTGGCTTGCTAACATGCACTGACAGGGATCTATCTGGAATTTCTGATTCAGTATGTCAAAGGAAGAAACTGATAATTTACATTTCTAACAGGATCACAGTGATTTGTTCATCTTGGACCACATTTTGAGAACCACCATGTTAGATCATGGTTTTGCTTTCTGCAGTTTTAGTTACCTACCATCAACTAAGGTCCATAAATATTAAGTAGTAAATTCCAAAAATAAACAATTTGGAAGTTTTAAATCACACAATGTTCTGAGTAGCTTATGAAAGCTCACAATATTCTATTCTGTCCTATCCATGGGATATGAATTATCCCTTTATCCATCACAGCCATACTTCGTATGCTACCTGCCCATTAGTCTTTAACAAGCCATCTCACTTATCAAGTTGACTGTCACAGTGTAGCAGTGCTTTTGTGTAAATAACCCTTGTCTTACCTAATAATAACGGACCCAAAGCAGACTGTAATTATGATGACAATTTGAACATGCCAAAGAGAAGCCACAGTGCTCCATTTAATCTAAAAGTTGAAAGATCTTGGCTTAATAAGGAAAAGAAAAAATATCATATGCTAAGGTTTCTAATATCTACATAAGAAGGAATCTTCAACCTGTGAAACTGTGAAGAAGGAAAAAGAAATACATGCTACTTTCACTGTCACATCTTAAAATAGTATTTTGAATTTGTATGAGTTTGGTTTCAGAACTCCACTGGGGATCTTGAGACATATCCCCCATGGATAAAGGGGGACCACTGAATTAGGGTAAAGACTATGTTCCTATTGTTTCCCAATGTATTTGGTGTTGAGATCACTGATTGTGCAGTACTTTAAGGACAGAACATCCATTTCTTCCCTAAGAGCTACAAGGAATGATGGCAGTCTTACCCAACGAGACCAGGTTCTGGTAGTTCTCCAGCATCACATCTCTGTATAGGTCTCTGTGAGTTTTATCCAATAATATCCACTCTTCTTGAGTGAAGTTCACAGCCACATCCTCAAAGGTCACCAAGTCCTAAATTGTTAAACACATGGCAGCCTGAGTAATAAGTTATAATAGTAATATCTCTATCAATGTTGACTAAAGAACGAGGAAGTGAGGCCAATGCCTATGCAAGGATCTGATGGTTTTCACTGTCTATTGCAAAGTTCAATGGTCCCAGGAACTCTTTCTCTATCCACATGCACTTACTGCCCATCTCCTGAATCATATGGCTTTTATGGCTCTACTGAAAAATGAATTTATCGCACCACACTTAGACTAGAAGCTCTTTTCTTACTTCCTTCTATTTTTTTTATATTTATTTTTTAGTTTTTCGGCGGACACAACATCTTTGTTTGTATGTGGTGCTGAGGATCGAACCCGGGCCGCATGCATGCCAGGTGAGCGCGCTACCGCTTGAGCCACATCCCCAGCCCCTTATTTCCTTCTATTAAAGTATACTCCTATCATATGCTTGATAAACAGGACAAATGAATAGTCTTTTATGGAAAAGGACACTTTTTTCTTTCTTAACATCTGGCAGAGTACTTGGCAAAAGAAGAATCACACCATACCCTTGTCACCATTAGTGTCATCATTGCTTAGTAATTACTGAAATATTGGGATGATTTTCAGATAACACCTCATTGATAAGAAGACACCATTCCTGTAGATTCATCTGGGGACTTATTTGATTGAGGCTCTACTGACTTTAAATAGTTGTGGAGATAAGTCTGTCTAGAAGAAAATGTGCCTGGTGGAGGCAAGCATGTCATTCTGTTCGACAGTTTCTGCATACCTGGTAATAGTTTATCAGGCAGTCTGCCATCTTTTCTGCTTTTATCTTTTCTTCAAGTAGGCTGAATGGATCCCTGAAAAGAACTGCTCCTGGAAAAGAAAGAAGGCATGAGAACCGGTACTACCCTAATTCCTACACTTACATGCCTAGAAGCCATTCCATCCTACCATGAAACTGCCATGTAATCCTGCACATTTGAAAAGCGCTCTCTCTCTCTCTCTCTCTCTCATATGTGTACTACTATCATAGAATGCTAGAGCAGTCCTGTCTCACCTAGAGCTAGAAAAAGGGATGGTGAGTGGTACTGCCCATTACAAAAACTACAATAGTTCATTTTACAGGTAAGCAAACTTAAATTCAGAGAAATTGTCTTCATTTATCCATGATGAAAATTCTCAAGGATATCATGCAGCACATACACCAGGGGGCTCATATGCACAACAGTATTATCTAGCCTACTTTGGCATCTCCAAAAAAACAAAAAATAAAAAGCTGGGTGGTGTGGCTGCTCAGGCCTGGGCCAATGGGCTCTGTTACACAAGGTGGATATAAAGCAGAATCTCTATAAAAGAACATTAACAGGACTGGTCAGGGGCCAATCAATAACTATCATTCTGTGAGGATGAAAGCAAAGTTTTCTGGAACGCTGTTTTCCTAGATGCCAAGACCACTACAGGCAGCTTATGAATCTTGGAGGATAAGGGAAATCTCCATTCTTCCTTATAGAGCAGTACTTCATCATTTGTCATCAAACATTGGCTTACTCGCCACAGATGATATAAAGAAAGCCACTAAATACAGTGTAACCTGTTAACATAAGTATTAATAACACCCACTATCATTTACTGAGGACCAGAAAGTATGCATTTACACTAGAGGTGTGTGTGTGTGTGTGTGTGGAGAGAGAGAGAGAGAGAGAGGCGTGAGGGCACAGGGGAGACAGACTGACTTATGTATCTTTCCAACCATTCACCGTAGACATCAAATCCCTATTTAATGCTGGAAAAAAACTAGATTCAAACAATAAAAGGATTTGTTCCATATCACCCATTTAGGAAGTGGTGAACCAGGGCCCAACTGTAGCTAAAGTGGTCCTGATCACCTGAGGTTGCTGTCACATTCCAGGACGATTAGAAGTTGGTCTAGACCTGCAATGTCTAGAGCACCACAATGTACTGTCTCATCACATGTGTTAACGTTCATTTTATATGAAGCTAGTATGATGGAAAAGAATTAAAATTTATTTCTTTATTTTTTTCCTTGCAGTGCTGGAGATGGAACTCAGGGCCTCACACATGCTAGGCAAGCACTCTAATACCACTGAGCTAATCCTCAGCCCTTGAATTGTATATTTATTTATTTTTTGTTTGTTTTTGTACTGGGGATTGAACCCAGGGGTGTTTAACTCCTGAGCCACAACCTCAGCCCTTTTTATTTTTTGAGACAGGGTCTAAATTGCTTAGGGTCTTCCTACGTGGTTAAGGTTGGCCTCAAACTTGCAAACCTCTTGCCTCAGTGCGACCTTTTTTTTTTTTTTTTAAGGAATAAGATTTATTTAAGTGCGAAGATAGAAACAACTCCTGCAGGGGCAGGAGGAGGACCCCAAGAGGGGTTGCCCTGGGTACGACTTTAACAGCTAAATTAGCTAGGCGACTAAAACTTGGATTCAACGATGACCTACAGTTAGTGAGGCTGACATGCCAGAACTTCCCTGGCACAATGTGACAGAAGGGATCCTAACAACAGGAAAGTTCTACTGAATTTGCCAGCTGATTTCCACACCCCTCCCACCCTTACCCCAATCTATGTTGATGATCCAGAAGACAATACTTTCTTTATGGAGATAACAAAAAAATTATGCCAGATATTCATATACTGATACCATCACTGAAATGCACACAGAGTTCCTCTATTCCAATGGCAAAAGTCAAAACCAGAGCAGCAGAAATCAAGTGTTGGCACTTAGACATCAACATCACAAGGCCACATCAACTCTCTGCTGGTTACACTTCAGGTGGTACCACCATCCATGGGCTCACAAAATACTTTAGCCACAGTGACAGCACTCACATGGCACTGGCTAGGGAAACCATTCCAGTGCAAATTAGTGCAACAATGGGAGTAGTCTCTGCAATCAACTAGTCTTAACACATTCCCCATTATTGAGAAGTAGCTGATCTAAATGAGGGGGAATGCCTTCCCGAAAACTCAGCTGCAGGGCCTGCTGTGAGACAACTTTAAGAAAGGGTGGCATTCTGTCTCAAAGGACACAGTGCTTTGAATTAGAGTCTTACATGGTACTGTCTCCCCCACAACCAGATTACATGGGCCCAAGATTGATGAATAAGGGTAGAAATGGCTCTATTGACAGACATTTTGCTTCCAATCCCAATAACATAGAACACTTTGGAGATTTCTGCCCCTATTTGGGACTGCTTTCCCCAGGAGGCACAATTATATGACCCAGCGATCTCCACCTTCTGGTAGACACCCTCCTGGATAATACCCTTATGTTATCTAACCCTCTAACCTGTTTCTAACAGAAATATGGTAAATGTGCAGGGATTATGTAAATGTAATTAAAGTCCCCAGTGAGTTAGTTTTGTTTATCAATGGGAAAAATATCCTAGTGGACTTGATCTAATCAGGGAGAAGTCTTATTGAGTGTCTAGGCTTTCTGAGGTCCAGAAATGAAGAGCAGACTGTGTACATGTATAAGAAACACCAACCAACCCAAATTCAATTTCTTCTCCAAATACTCTCACAACATAGATCACTTCTGAAACCAGATGTGTTGGAATATTCCTCACACACAGCAAATAATTCTTTCTGCAACAATCCTCCAATTCAATTCAGTTCTGACATTGTCTACCTGGAGATAGTATTAGATCTCACAGGTTGAGGGCTCAGTCCCTAAAACTGCCTTTACTTATCTATTTACTAAATTTATTTTGGTACTGGGGATTGAACTCAGAGCGTCCTGCACGCTAGGCAAGCACTCAACCATTGAACAACACCCTCTGCCCACCCCCACCCCAACACCTTTAATTACCGGTGCTTCTTACTAGCTATAATCAGGGTTCCCATAAACCCCTCCTCAAGTTCAATTAATTTGCTTGAGCCTCTCACAGAATTCAGGGAAACACATTCACCAGTTTATTATAAAGGACGAAGTATATTTTCCCCACATTTTTCTTTGGAAAAAATGTGAAGCTACTAACAGGTCATTTGAACATAACATATAATATGCACACACTATAGTAGTGTTTGTGTCAGCTTTTCGTCACTATGATCAAAAGATCCAATAAGAAATATGTGGAGGAGTAAAAGTTTATTTGGTGCTCATGGTTTCAGAGGTCTCAGTCCATAGGTGGCTGACTCTGCTGCTTTGGCACAAAGTGAGGCAGAGCACCATAGCAGAAGGGTGTGGAAGAGGAAAGCAGCTCAAGTCATGGCAATCAGGAAGCAGAGTGAGCTCTGCTCACCAGGGACAAAATACAGACCCAAAAGACATGCTACCAATTACCTATTATCGCTTCCAGCCTACCCTACCTGCCTACTTATCACCACCATTCACTGACTTGATGTAAGGCTCTCACAGCCCAGTCATTTCACTTGTGAATTTTCTTGTATTGTCTCAGACATGGGCTTTTGGGGGAACACCTCATATCTAAATCATAACAAATAGGTCCACTAATTTTTAGCATTTTTTTCATGTTTTCTTTTTCCCCCACACACATTTTATTGTATTTGAAAGCAAGCCTGTTGAAAATAAACTGTAAATATGATGATATTGGAACATTAAATACTTGGTAATGCATCTCCTAAAAAAAGGGATTAAATTCACAATATTTTTTTTTATTCAAGAAAATGAATAGTGGGCTGGGTGAATATCTCATTGGTAAAATGCATGCACCAGGCCCTGGGTTCAATCCTCATCACACACAAATCCATAAAAAGAAAATTAATATACATAGTATTGTCTAATATCTACTCATTCAAATGTTAATTTAGTCACATTGTTCGGTTTTGGATATTGTTGAATCTAAAATGCAAGGTTTCTTATTACATTTGTTTATGTATTTTTAGTCCAACTATCTTGTCAAAGATAAACTATTCCTAGTGCAGTAAAGCCTCCTTCCTTACTGAAGGCACGGTTCTTAAATTCTGTGGGGATGGATGTACAGCCTTAGGAAGTTCGGATGAAGGGAATGCCTGTAAATTCGTGGTTTTGTTTATAAAAAGGCTTGTGTTCTACAAACGTTCGTGTTCACATACAAAACTAGGCACACCTTCGGCACCTAAGAAAGTACCTTCACCTTTCTAACAAAGTAGAGTATGAAAAGGTAACTATCTGATGCGCAAAGGCGGCACACTCTCATTTGAAACATTGAATTGCCTAAGAGGGGGGAAAAAGGTCCTCAGGAAACTTCGCCACCTCGCGCCCGGGGCATGGCGTGGAACCCACGCTCTGGACCTGAGCAAGCGCTCCGCCACCCAGCTACAGCTTCAGCCCCGAACCAGTTTTCTCGCAGGGCTCACCCCGACTCGCAGCAGTCGCCAGGTCCAAGAGGCGGGAGGACACCGCGACGTCAACACGACTCTAACTGCGGAAAGTCCTTTTCTTTCGAAAAATAAAATTTACAAAGGGAGCTACTGGAGAGGACGGCAGCAGATGAGATAACCGGGACGCAGGCTCACGTCACTTCCCGGGCCCACAGCACGACCGCCCTCTCGGCCCCGCAGGACGCTGGCTGAGGACCAGCCTTTGCGCCAAGGTCCCTTCGCTGCCTAGGCCAACTCGGTCCTGCAACAACTCCTTCCACCTTCCTCCGTGGAACTGACCCCGACCGGGACGTTCCCCAAACTGGAGAAGCCGGAAGGATCCGGGTCGCGCGGAGATTGCGTCATGAAAAGGGAGCGGGGTCGTTGACGTCACCTCCGCCCGGCCTCGGGCGGGGCACGCGGGCGGGGCTCGCAGCCTCGAGCCTCAGACCAATTGAACCTGATAAGGCCGGGATTCTGGTTTAGTCCCGCGTGCACGGGGAAGGGCCCCCGACGTCGGCTCGCCGAGGGACGCGAGGGCAGAAGCAAGGCGGGGTCACAGGCTGTTATGACGCGGCCCTGGGCGGGTACAGCGGGACGAGCCCCCGCGAGGGTGGGGACGGCGGAATAGGCCGGAACCCCGCCCCCCACGTCCCTAGAGCCCTTCGAATGATATCACATTGGCAAATCTGTCAATCAATGGTCGGTGCCCTCCATACACTGGGTCTTTTAACTATTTCTTATCTGGATACCCTGCTAAACCCTGTCTATTGCTTTACTTTTCAAAGTTATATATATTTTTAGAAACCTTGAATTGTTTCTTCTTCAAATATATTTTTATTATTCAGGTCTTAGCAGATGATCCGGGGCCTCCCATTTGGATAGATCAGGCAGTCTTCATTTATTCAGCAAAAATTCTAGAATTTCTCCTGCAATGCCACTTGGCTGTGGTTTTCAGTGGGTAGCATTTGTAGAGTTAACAAAGATATTTTTCCTTTTTCTTTTTTTTGGTGTTGGAAATGGAACCCAGGACTTGTGCATTTTAAGCAGGAATTCCACCAATGAGTTACATCCCCAGCCACAATAAAGATTTATATATATATTTGGGGCTGGGGTTGTGGCTCAGCGGTAGAACGCTAACCTAGCATGTGCACGGCGCTGGGTTCGATCCTCAGCATCACATAAAAATAAATAAATAAAATAAAGACATTGTGTCCAACTACAACTAAAAAAATTAAAATAAAGTCTAGAAAATATATATATTTATCTTAAATCATAGTTATACATAAATGTGGGGTTCATTTTGGCATATTCATAAATGCACATAATTTGCTCCATTTCAGTCCCCAGTTCTATACCCTCCCCTAAGCCCCTTCCTCTTCTCTGTTGGTCTTCCCTCTATGGTTTTTTAATTAGTACGGTGGAGTTATATATACTTAAAATTGGAACTCATTGTGATACATTCATACATGCCCATAACATACTTTATTCAATGTCATGCCACTCTTTTTCCCATTTCCATCCCTCCCCGCTTCGTCTGGATCACCTTTCTCTCCATTGTTCTCCCTTCTATTTTCATGAGAGTCCCACAAACCCCCTTTTAAATTGCTTATTTCTCTCTAGTTTCTGCATGGGAACATTTGATCCTTGACTTTTTTTTTTTTTTTTTTAAGAGAGAGGCAGAGAGATAGAATTCAACTTTTTTTTTTTTTTTTTAATTTTTTAGTTTTTGGCGGACACAACATCCTTGTCTGTATGTGGTGCTGAGGATCCAACCAGGCCGCACGCATGCCAGGGAGCGCTGCCACAGCTTGAGCCGCATCCCCAGCCCTCGATCCTTGACTTTCTAAATCTGGCTTATTTCACTCAGCATAATATTCTCCAGTCTCATCTATTTACCAGCAAATGACATAATTTCATCATCTTTATGACTGAGTCAAACTCCATTGTGTATATATACCACATTTTTGTTTACCAATTGTCTATTGAGGGACACCTAGGCTGATTTCATAACTTGGCTATTGTGAATTGCACTGCTATAAACATTGACATGCATGTATCACTGTGGTGTGATGATTTTAGGGTAGTTTTTTTTTTCTTTTGTTTTTGGATACATACCGAAAATTGGGATGGCTGGGTCAAATGGTGGTTCCATTTATGGTCTCTTTAAGAATCTATATACTGGGGCTAGGGTTGTGGCTCAGCGGCAGAGCACTTGCCTAGCATGTGCAAGGCACTGGGTTTGATTCTGAGCACCATATAAAAATAAATAATTAAAATTAACGTTAAAAAATAAGTTACAGGGGCTGGGGATGTGGCTCAAGCGGTAGCGCACTCGCCTGGCATGCATGCGGCCCGGATTCAATCCTCAGCACCACATACAAACAAAGATGTTGTGTCCACTGAAAACTAAAAAATAAATGTCAAAATATTCTCTCTCTCTCTCTCTCTCTCTCTCTCTCTTAAAAAAAGAAGCTGCTAAAAAAATAATAACTTACAAATCAACAAAAAAAACCATAATAAAAATTTTTTTTAAAAAGAATCTATATACTGCTCTGTAAAGTGATTGCACTAATTTGCAGTCCCATCAAGAAATGCATGAGTATACCTTTTCCCCCACATCCTAACCAGCATTTATTGTTATTTGTGTTCTTGATGGTTGCCATGCTAACTGGAATAAGATGAAATCCCAGTGTAGTTTTGATTTACATTTCCCTGATTACTGCAGATGTTGAATATTTTTTCATATATGTATTGTTTTCATATATTTATAACTTTCTTCATTTCAGAGATGTTTAGTTCATTTGTCCATTTATGGATTTGGTTATTTGGGGAAGTGGTGTTAAATTCTTTTCTGTATCTGGATATTAATCTCCAGTTGGAAGATTAACTAGCAAAGATCTTCTCCCATCTGTTGGCTCTCTCTTCATGCTCTTGTTTCCTTTGCTGTGCAGAAGCTTTGTAATTTGATACTGTTCCACTTCTTGGTTTTATTTGATTTACTTGATTTATTTGATGTATTTGATTCTTGGTTTTATTTCCCGAGCTTTAGGAGTCTTATTAAGGAAGTCCGTGCCTGAGCCAATATGTTGGAGTTGACCCTATGTTTTCTTCTAGCAGTTGTAGTGTTTCTGGTCTAATTCCTAGGGTTTTGATCCACTGTTAGTTGATTTTTGTGCAGATGAGAGATAGGGATATAATTTCATTTTTCTACTTATGGAAATCCAGTTTTCTCAGCAACATTTGTTAAAAATGCTATCTTTTCTCCAATATATGGTTTTTGTACTTTTGACAAGAATCAAATGACTGTACCTATGCGAAACTGTCTTTTTGTCTTCCATTTCATTGGTCTTCTTGAATTTTTATGCCAATTACATGTTGTTTTTGTTACTATAGCTCTGTAGCACAATTTGAGATCAGGTATTTTGATGCCACCAATGTCATTTATATTGTTCAATATGCTTTGGCTATTCTTAGTTTATAATAAAGATATTTTTACACATTGATTTATTAACACATTTTATCAAGATTTCTTAGGCTGGGAATGTGGCTCAGTGGTAAAGGACTTATCTGGCATTCCTGGGTTTGATCCCCAGCACCAATAAATTTTGAAAAAGAAATGTGTATCAAGAATTCTTCAAGAATTGATGATTATTTTGCTATGCTAATATGCAACATTTGGGGAGGTTTTGCCAGGAATTGAACCCAGGGGTGTATAACCCCTGAGCCACATCCCCACCCCTTTATATTTATTTACTTTTGAGACAGGGTCTTGCTAAATTGCTTAGGGCCTCGCTAAGTTGCTGAGGCTAGTTTTGAATTTATTAATTTTTTAGCTTTAGATGGACAAAACACCTTTATTTTTTAATTTTAATTTATTTTTATGTGGTGCTGAGGACTGAACCCAGTGTCTCACACATGCTAGGCAAGTGCTCTACCACTGAGCCACGACCCCAGCCCTAGTTTTGAATTTTATGATGCTCCTACCTCAGCCTACCAATCTGCTGGGATTACAGGCATGCACCAATACATTCAGTGCTAATTTGTTTTTTATAATTTTTTATTTGTTTTAATTAGTTACACATGACAGTAGGATGCATTTATGTACTTTTATATATCATACATAATTGGGATAAAATTTCTCATTTTTCTGAGTGTACAAGCTGCAGAATCATATTGGTCATGCAGTCACAAATATATAGTAATAATGTATGCTTCATTGTACTATCTTTCCTTCCCCATATCCCATCCCCTCCCCTCCCATCACTTCCCTTTACCTAATCTAAGGTAGTGCTATTCTTCCCTAGTGCCCCCTGCCACCATATTGTGAATTAGCATCTGCATATTAGAGAAAACACTTGTCCTTTGGTTTTGTGAGATTGGCTTATTTCACTTAGTATGATAGTCTCCAACTCCAACCATTTACTGGCAAATGCCATAACCTTACTCTTCTTTAAAGCTGAGTCATATTCCATTGAGTATATATACCACATTTTCTTTATTCATTCATCTATTGAGGGACACCTAGGTTGGTTCCATAGTCTAGCTATTGTGAATTGAGCTGCTATAAACATTGAGGTGGCTGTGTCAATATAGTATGCTGACTTTAAGTCCTTTGGGTATAAAACAAGGAGTGGGATAGCTGGGTCAAATGGTGGTTCCATTCCCAATTTTCTAAGGAATCTCCATACTGTTTTCCGTAGTGCTTGTACCCGATTTGCAGTGCCACCAGTAACGTATGAGTGTACATTTTCCCCCACATCCTCACCAACATTTACTGTTGCCTGTATTCTTGATGATTGCCATTCTGACAGGAGTGAGATGACATCTTAGTTTTGATTTGCATTTCTCTAATTGCTAGAGGTGTTGAACACTTTTTCATATATTTGTTGATCAATTGTATTTCTTCTTCTGTGAAATGTCTGTTCAGTTCCTTAGCCCATTTATTGATTGGGCTATTTGGTTTTTTGGTTAAGTTTTTTGAAATTTGAATCCATCTTATTAACTGATTCTCGATTTTACTTCTTGTGCTTTAGGAGTCTTGTTAAGGAAGTCAGATCCTAGGCCAATGTGGTGAAGATTTGGACCTATATTTTCTTCTATTAGGCACAGGGTCTCTGTTCTGGTGCCTATTTGTTGATCCACTTTGAGTTGATTTTTTTGCAGGGTGAGAGATAGAGGTTTAATTTCATGCCAGCACCATTTATTGAATAAACCATCTTTTCTCCAGTGAATGTTTTTGGCATCTTTGTCTAGTATGACATAACCATATTTATGCGGGTTTGTCTCTGTGTTCTCTATTCT